GTTACACACAGCTTAAAAAAAAAAAAAACACCCAGCATGGCTTTCTTTTAACATACAAATTAAAAGGGGTGCCTGAATAGCTCAGTTGGTTGAGCATCAGACTTCGGCTCAGCTCATGAACTTGTGGTTTGTGGGTTCGAGCCCCGCATCGGGCTCTGTGCTGATGGCTCAGAGCCTGGAGCCTGCTTCGGATTCTATGCCTCCCTTTCTCTCTGTTCCTCTCTCTCTCTCTCTCAAAAATAAATAAAGATTAAAAAAATTAAAATAGAAATTAATGGGGCGCCAGGGTGGCTCGGTCAGTTAAACATCCGACTTCAGCTCAGGTCATGATCTCACGGTTTGTGAGTTCGAGCTACACGTCGGGCTCTGTGTTGACAGCTCAGAGCCTGGTGCCTGCTTCAGATTCTGTGTCTTTCTCTTTCTCTGCCTCTCCCTCCGCTTGCACTCTCTCAAAAATGAATAAAGGTTAAAAAAATTTTTTGTAAATAGAAATTAATGTGTTGTGTAACTCGACCCAGGATATTCTGGTAACAAGTAGATATAGCCTGGTACTATGTGACTGTTTCTTCTATTACACTATTTTGCCCAAATTGAAGACTCATCTTCTTAGGTTTATATGTACCTCCCCATTGCTCCTCCTTTCTCTTTCTCAGTTTTTCTTTGTCTTTGTGGACAAAGAAGCAGAGATGAATTTGTACTTATTTTTATCATGATTTCATAACTGGCATAGCATTGGAAGTGACTAAATTCTTTTTTATTTTTTATTTTTTTATTTATATTTTTTTAACGTTTATTTATTTTTGAGATAGAGAGAGACAGAGCATGAATGGGGGAGGGCAGAGAGAGAGGGAGACACAGGATCGGAAGCAGGCTCCAGGCTCCGAGCCATCAGCTCAGAGCCCGACACGGGCTCGAACTCACGGACCGCGAGATCATGACCTGAGCTGAAGTCGGACGCTTAATCGACTGAGCAACCCAGGTGCCCCGGAAGTGACTAAAATCTTTATTTTTATAGAAATATAATGTTATAACGATGATGGGCTTAAACGTCCCTCCACAGAAGTTGGGTGATTCTTTAGTCAGGTACATTATTCTAACTGTAAAATGTTGTCGATAGAACACATGACTTGCTCTTCCAGTAATGGGGATGAAATTATTTGATGTGAACCTCATTTCTTGGCTGTGTTCCCTTTCTGAACAAGGACTTCCACTGACAATATAGCAGAGTGGTTACAATTGTGGTCAAAGAAAAAAATGGACTCGGTTACGTGCGACCCCAAACCTTGGATTTATCAGCTTTCTGCTGAAAACACTTTTTAAGCATATCCTTAAGGTCAGGTCCCAAAACAGCAACGTGTGAAATTTGCCACAATAAGAGCTTGTACCGCAAACTCATCAAACCGTTTAGTATGAGGAGGCTGTGTATACGTGGGTTTGAGACGAGGGGTTTAAAAGTTGGAAGGAAAGAAGGAGAAACACAATTCCAACAAGCCACATCTGTATTATGAATAGAGGAAGCAACCGTATTGATTCTAAAGTCAATTTTTGCCATATGCGTGTCTCTCCCAGATAGCCAGATATGGAATCACTGGACTGAGCTGGATGTGACCTGAGACCAAATGGATTGCCTCATTTTACAAATGAAGGAATTAAAGCCGAGAGAGGATAAATGGTTTTTTCAAGACAACATGGTGTTGAAGAACAGCTGAGCGTCAGTGGGAAGTCAGGCCTCGTACTATTCGCTCCAGTCTACTTGTTACTACACTACATCGGCTCGTTTCATGTACTGCCCTATATTTATAACCAAGTCCTCAATGCATTTTAAAGAACAAGTGACAATTAAGCTATTAATATTTTCTCACTCTTTACCTCTGAAATAAAGAGTGCAACGACGGAGCACTTGGCACTGATTTTGAAAAACTCTCCCTATCAGTCATAATCTCTTGACCTCATTTATAAACTCACATGCCATGATCACCAATCTCGTCACTACATTCTGAAAGCAAATGCAGCATTTGGTTCTCTAAAAGAAATGTTAAGATCTAGTTCAAGAACGCTTGAATGGAACAAATATGGCCACTGGTTTTCCTTGGACATTTATTACTTTCCTTATTTATGCTTAAAGTTAAAAACATACTAAGGATGAAATTGATAAGGTCTTAGCAGTACTTAGCCACTATGAAACTAACAGACATAGAAAGGCATGTAATCGCTTAACTATATTGCCTTGCTTTGGTCAACGCCACTTATAACCATCTATCATACAAATATTTCAAAACTATCCATCACAATGGGAATTAAATTATAAGAGATCTCAAGAGGTCTTGGAATTGGAACTTGTTTTTATTAAAGGTCTAGAAATTCTTTAACAGGACTTTCAATCATACCCCTAAATGGGCTGCCAATACGAAAAGTTATCTGCTTTATCATTTTTTTTATTAAAACTTTGAAAGCAAATATTTTTAAACCCAGTTTCCTCTCTGTCCTCAGAAGCATACTCTCTGCATCCTATGAAACTGGAAAAGAAGAGAAAACAATTCTCTAATTCTATGGTCAAATCAGTTTTAGGGTTTGGGGTATTAAACAGTATCCTTTGCATAGGGAACATAGAGACATATGACCTTTTCTGAGTTCTTATTATGAGCCTCTGAACTAACAACTCTACATGAATTAACTTGTTTAATATTACAGCAAACAAGTTAGAGATGAGAAGACTGACAACCAGAGAGGACAAGTGACTTCAAGGTCACTCAGTAAGTTTGATTCCAAAGGCTGTATACTGTAATAATAATAATTATAACTGCAATAACTCTAAGAGCTAGAATTTATGCAACATTTAATGTCTGCATTTTCTTCAAATGGAAGACTGAAACACAGAAGGGTCCTAAGGTCCCACAGCTAGTAAATGTGACCCTGAGCATGCTTAGGGTCCCTGTATTTATTATGCACACCTATAAAAAACCTGCATGGGTAGGTCTGTGACAGAATGATCTTTCTAAAATGATTCTAGCATATGTCTTACCATTGACTGGTGTTTAAATTAGGATTCCAAAGGTAGAGATGTTTAAAGAATCCAAGCAACGATAGTACAAAGTAATTGTATGACAGTAACTAAGTCCTTCTATCGCGATTCAGCATTATTTTCCATGTTTGTTGCAAGGTATAGGAAGGTCTAACTTGAAGCTATTTATAAAAATTATTGTTAATAGGTTTTAAAACATTATAGAGGATCTTATTGCAGAATATAAACTATCCTACATTCATGAAATATTATCGCGAACATCACAGGAAGAAATTACTTTTCCTGTTCCTTACAAACAAGCTTTCTCTGTATATTCTCTCATTGTAACAAGGAACTGTAATGCTCATAATGTGCCTACCTGCAGAAGCTTCCATCTGGTGTTCAGGTCTTCCAGAGTGTTGAGGTTATATGGTGACAGCTGAATGCCCAACGTAGTGAGTTGGCGAGCAAGGTCATTGACGTAGCTGACATTCTCTTTCAGAGGTGTAATTTCTCCTCGAAGCACCTGTATGAAAGAGTCAAGGGCAAGTTGGTAAATGAGAACACTACAAGCCAAAAAACCAGACACATGCGAACTACAAGATATCTCGTTCTATTTGGGGTGCAGCGTCAGTGATGTTTGCCCTATCATAGTGGTATTACTACCCTGATCACTTGCGAATGGGTGAATAATAATCACGAATATTTAATGAGCATTTCTTAGGTGCCTGATCCTGTGATGAGCTGTCTCCATAATCCAGTTTTATCCCTACAGAATAACCCTATGAGACTCATAGTTGGAGAACTCTCATTTTCCACACGAGAAAACAACTTACAGAGGTTATATTTTGTCCAAGGTTCAGTGGGTCAAAATTGAGGAGCCTGGGACACGCATCCATGTTTGCCTACCTCCAGAGTACAAATTACTAACTATTACATACCTTTCCAAAAAAATTCTGGATTGGAAAGCAACAGGAAAAATATTTTGCTAGATTCTAAATTCGACTCACCTCCCAACCAGAAATGGATCCTTTTTTTTTTTTTTTACAATAAAAAGGTATACTCAGTCAGAAAAGATTACATTCATATTTTGTACCAACTGCATAATAAATAGATTCATTTAGAGATTAGGGTATTTTTTCAAGCCCTAAGAATGACTTCCTGGTCCCCTGGTATTTTAGTCCTTGTGGCAATGACTTAGGAAGGCTCCCGTGGGGCTTCTTGGCTGTCCGGGGAAGAACCCTATGCAGATATGGGGAGGATATTACCATGCATCATATCTACCCTATTGAGGTGACATTTATGGATCTTTAACATGACGCATGATGTCCAAATGTTCCAATGAGCAATTTCTAAGGGACAGATTCCCTCACTTAGGAGAACAGTTTGTGTAATGTAATGTCTATGCACAAGGACAACATCACTTACTTGGTTCTATGTGCTGCTTTGACTTGCTCGATCCGGGCAGGTATTATTTCTCTGGTTCCTTATGTTGATGAAGCCACTGTTTACACTGACCTCATCTATAACCCTCCAGATTCCCTCCCACTCCAAATAAAAGGAGCCAGGATGTGCATTCTAAACAAGAATGGCATTGTCCTCTCAAACTGTCAAATCAACTTGAATATCTCACCACTAAAATGTGGTCATGTATGGAGTATGAGACTCTTATATAGTTCTTAGATACTATAAGACCTTGTGATAATAATTCTATAGAACTTAATGTTTCTAAAAAACTGGTCACTAAAAATTTTACGTTAGAGAATCATGGGGTCTCTTTTGGGAGTGATGAAAATGTTCTGGAATGAGACAGTGGTGCTGATAGCACAATCTTGTGATGAGACTAAACATGACTGAATTGTACACTGTAAAAGAGTGAAATTTTTTTTTAACATTTATTTATTTCTGAGACAGAGAGAGACAGAGCATGAACGGGGGAGGGGCAGAGAGAGAGGGAGACACAGAATGCGAAACAGGCTCCAGGCTCTGAGCTGTCAGCACAGAGCCCGACGCAGGGCTCGAACTCACGGACCGCGAGATCGTGACCTGAGCCGAAGTTGGACGCTCAACCGACTGAGCCACCCAGGCACCCCAAGAGTGAATTTTTTTAAAGTTTATTTGAGAGAGAGAGAGAGAGCGCAAGTGTGTGTATGAGCGGGGGAGGGGCAGAGAGACAGGAGAGAGAGAGAGAGACAGAGAGAGAGACAGAGAGAGAGAATGCCAGTCAGGCTCTGTGCTGTCAGCACAGAGTCCGGCACAGGGCTTGAACCTATGAACTATGAGATCAGCACAGGTCTCACAATATATATATATTTTATTAAGTAAACTCTACGCCCAACATGGGGCTCAAACTCATGACCCTGAGATCAAGAGTCGAATGATCCACACAGAATGAACCAGCCAGGTGCCCCTAAAGGGCAAATTTTATGGCTTGTGAATTACATATCAATAAAAAATAAAAACAAAGGAAAACAAAAGAAATCTTTCTATCTGACCACACACATGCAAAAAATCCCATCTTATGTATTGATCTTTTTTCAACTTCATGTCAGTGGAATGTCAGAGGAACCAGTCTGAAACTGAGAAAGTTTTTATAGGGAATGACAGTAAATACTATTATTCCATTGCCTTATAAATAAATATACGGATTAAAAGAATCCCATGGCGGGAGGTAAAAAGCCATCAATGTAAATTCATATCTCTACAAGGAAATGACCCATAATCACTTTGTTTTGTGTAACAAAAGGTTAGAAGACAGATTTCTTAAATGTCAATGGAGAAGCCTGGACGAGGGCAATGGTTACCAAATGGAACCACTCTCTTCTGGATAATAACATGTGTTTGTAGTGACCATAAATAAATATCATACGAGTGGGAATTTTAAATGGGAAACCATCGCAGAGATGGCAGGACAGCCAGGCAGAATCCGACAAAAGTGTGGATTAACCCGGGATGCTAATCATCTCTCTTCACTAGCGTGGCTCTCAGCCATTAAGTTGAGTAGCCATCTCAGTTCGTCACATGTAGGTTTCAGCTCCCTTTGGATGACATAATGTACGTGTTCAAATGCCTTTTATTACAAGATTTTGATTTTCACTTCCTCCCCTCAAAGTCAACTCAGATTTTAATCCTGCGTCGGTGTTTTGGAGGATGAAGGTGATTAAAAATTAAGTTCCAATATGCATAATTAATCACAACACTCACTCTCCTTCTCCTCTGCTTCTCTGTCTCTTTCTCCCTCTCTCTCTCCCTCCACCGCACCACCCCTGTCATGGGATCTTGTGGCTTCTTTTCGTTGTCATTGTTCCTATCTAGCGATTACAGTAGAAGTTATCTTAACTGATCTCCACTTACGACTCACCAGAGTAGCCAGTCTTCATTCCCTGTGAATCACAGTGACCGAGACCTCTAACTAACAGCCTCTAAGTAAAACAGTAGAGCTATCTGTCAGTACGTACAGCCTTCAGCTCCCATCAGTTGAGTTGTCAGGCGTGGGTATGTCCTCGAACCTGTTTTCACCAGTTAGCTTTGCAATTAAATAATTTAAAAGATTTCACAGTCCAAAGAAGTTTAAGTCTGGAAGAAAGTAAGTTATTATTTCTACGAAAACCAGGTTGAACACTCTAGAAGGGTGTTTAAAAAAGAAAAAGAAAAGCAAATGTTGAATGGGGGTGACTGGAAAAGATGAGGAAAATTCTGCGAAAAATTTAGGAGTGTTCTGTACACAGAATGCCTTCCATTTGTCCTGATGGACTCTGTTGCCATTACAGAAACTGGAACGGGAAATCGAAACTTCTTCATCATCAGTGTGATTTACAGAGAAGTCCAATCAGTGAATCTACACTTAAACAAGAAACTTTCACACGATGCTAAAATACTGGTGAGCCAAAGCATAAGAGACTGTTAAAAACTGAGAACAAACTGAGGGTTGATGGGGGGTGGGAGGGAGGGGAGGGTGGGCGATGGGTATTGAGGAGGGCACCTTTTGGGATGAGCACTGGGTGTTGTATGGAAACCAATCTGACAATACATTTCATATATTAAAAAATAAAATAAAATAAAATTTCTTAGACCTTCAAAAAAAAAAAATAAAATAAAATACTGGTGACTATTTTAAGATTGAATAAAATGTTTAAGACCTACTTTTTATGATTCCCTGATTTAACTGACTTTTTCAATTAACTGTTGAACTCTAGGTTTTCAGCCAAAATAGAGGAAATAAATTTTACTCCTGCTATTTAACTACCACGGTTAACGGCTACTAGGATCATCATTAACTAAGGGGGAAGAAAAGGCGTATGTTTAGTTTCATCTGGATTACATTTCTGGTAGGATAAATGGAAGCTTTGACTGGGGGTGGGGAGGTCAGCTGGTCAAGTGATAATTTGGTGTGAAGTCTGATTCTGGGGAGATATCCCCATGAGCCTGATAGAAAAACTGTAGCCATCTAGAAATCACCATGAGGGGCGCCTGGGTGGCTCATTCGGTTGGGCGTCCGACTTCAGCTCAGGTCACCATCTCGCGGTCCGTGGGTTTGAGCCCCGCATCGGGCTCTGGGCTGATGGCTCGGAGCCTGGAGCCTGCTTCCGATTCTGTGTCTCCCTCTCTCTCTGCCCCTCCCCCGTTCATGCTCTGTCTCTCTCTGTCTCAAGAATAAATAAAGGTTAAAAAAAACTTAAAAAAAAAAAGCACCATGAAGGCACACGAGAATGGAGGAAAGAAGGTAACCTGGCGGTAGAAAAGAGGAAGAGAAAAGGGAGATAGGAGAGTGTTCCAAGTCACCCTCCACTTTGGCATCTGCCCTAGGTTCCGGTGTTTAGGGGGCCATACTGTCACAAGGCATACTATGTAAAAAATGAATATGGGTCATTTAAGTGGATGTAGCATTGTGTTTGCCTATCTTTCAAATGGTAGAGCTTTTGATATCACACCTATAAATATATGTCCAAATTATTAAACACTGAACATCAAATGGCAAAAAGTGCAGCTAACTCGGAACAATATCCTGTGCTATTTAAATACTACCAGAATTTCATTAGATTTTATTCTAGTTTGGAAGCAGTGAGTGAGAAAACATTGAAGGAAGCCATTATACTGTGGCTTTTCTTTGAATCACTTAAACATCTGGAATATGTTCTCCATGAAAGAGCAAACCAAGTCTAATTTTATTATGACTAGTTTCATGCCGGCAGAATTTTCACTTCATTAAATGTTGTCTGATTATAGATATAAAAGTACTGATTTAGAATGATATATAAGACCGATATGTCAAGTTTTTCTTCTTTTTATGAAATTAAATTGGCTATCAGATCGTTGCCTATCCTTATGTAGCTAAAGATTTGTTTAAATATAGATTTAGAACTTTAGTCATCAATCACGTTGCAACAAAAGAAAGGGATTATCTTTGAACAAGGGAACATCATTTTGCAGGGAGAAGCTTTGACGTGGTAGTTAAGAGACTAGTCTGCACGGCACAGAAGGGCCATTTATTTTTTTATTTATTTATTTTTTTTCAACGTTTATTTA